AATAAAGAGTGTCTGTGGTAGCTCAGGTTTGGCCTCCTGCCTCTGACGGTGAAACGTGGGGGCCTCAAAATAAGGTGAAGAACTGAATTGGACGTTTTGTGAACATTTTAGATTATTTCTTAACAAAAGATGGGATACTCCTCATGGCACTTATTGCCAGTTCATTATAGGAACTGTCATACTTCCTCTGTGCCGTTACTCAAATAAATGTATGGTCTCTTCCTGAAGCTATGGATTCAGAATTTTTTTACTGTCAATTCCAGCACCTAATTAAAGAGGCTTTTAAAAAATTATTTAGTGGAATCTTTTAATATTTGTTGTGATCCTTTGTTTTCAAATAATTTCTTGTCTGTTTTCTTTTTAATTAGGAGGTGGTTTTGTTTTACATTTTTCTGAATCAGAAGCTCTTTGGCACAGTTTCATCTTTGCAAATTCTTTAAATGTGTGCTTCTGAATTAGTTCGTCTTTCTATTTGGACTAGTGCTCAAATAACACACACACACATACATACATACATATATACATATTTGTATTTTGATCGTTCTACCATTATTACCAGTTCATGCAGAATTCACATGTTCTTCCACTCTGCCCCAACCAATTATTTTGCAGGTCATAAGCACTAAAGCTCTTGGTTTTGCTTGAAGTAACGTCATTTTCTCTGCAAACTTGAACACGAGGCAGAACATTATATATAAACTGATATTTCACTTCAGTCTATCTTGGCATCAGTTTAGTATATATAACCATCCTAGCATTATGCAAATAGAGCTATTCTTCCCCTCCTCCTTCCCTTCAGTTTTCCACAATGTAGTTCTGCTCAGAGTATTCCTTGCATTGTATGCATAAACGAAAGTTGCTTGCAAAATTTAAACAACTTGTTTACAGAGGCTCTATTATTCTGTATATCTTTGCTTATGAGTGGGCTTTAATAATAATTTTCTTTGTTCGTATGTACTTTGTTAATGCAAGGACTCTCTTGTTGTTTATTCTAGATGGCATTGTCAGACTCGGTCACTACTTGTCTTTCTCCATCTGTGCATTATGTGATTTGCAAACTTGGATATGAGAAAAAAGACACCTATGATATTAGTAATATTTTGTCTGAAAATGGTGAAGTACGTTGGCAAGCTGTTACAGACCACATATGTTACCTTGAATCAGGTTGGTGTTTGCCTGCTGTAGTAGTGACACATTTAATACTGATGCAGAATGTCAATACAGTTCATAGCAATTCCAGTTTCGTTATAGTGAAGGTCTGCCTCAGGATCAGCAATTAAAGCAATGACAACAATGCTCTCCATCCTCTCGCGCTCCCACCCAGATAGGGAAAGGAGAGGCAGAATAAGGAGAGAGGCTTCAGGATTGAAAACTAAACTAGACGGTTTTAATGAATTGCTAATGATAAAAGTAAGTATGTGAAAATATATTCGAATATGTTCAGGAATGTGCAAAACTCCTATCACCTTCCCCACCCCCAGCAACTCCCACGACATCTGAGCTGTGAGCAGCTCCAAAATGTCCCGGAGTGCTGCCAGAGAGAGTGGCAGAGACACAGGAGCTGAGGGGAGAGTTTTGAGGGTCAAGAATGCACGGTCCTGGGAATCAGTGGTGATGGATAGACAGAGTTCTCCCTGGATGCTGGCCATGGACAGAAGAGAAGGGGAGAAAGGGCTTGACTTCTGTGATCCCTGAATTTGTACTTACAGGGATGTGTCTGGGATGGAATAATCTGTTTGGCCAATTTTGCCTCCTACGGGAGGGTTGTAGATAACAACTCTTCTGCTCCTTTTGTGTCTGGAGCAGCAGATTCAACTAGCATAGCAAGGTGTCCTTGGTCTGTCGGCAGCAACTATAAATATTTGGATTATATCAGTCCACTGGCTGGAATGCTGCTAATTTCAGCAAGCGTGCTGCTTAAAAGAAAGTTCATTGAAGAAAAAAAAATTCAGTAAAAAGAAAATTGGCTTCATCCTGGCTCAAACCAGGACAAACATTTATTGCAGTACAACATTAGCTTTGCTACAGGTAGCACATAGTTCATATCTACAAGAAGCTTTATTCTTTCATTCACATTTGGCATTTGGTTATTGCTGGTTCCCAAGATTCATGTAATCTGTAGTTGCTTCTTTCCTTCCTCATTCATCTTGGTTCCTGACTTCATATGCCTGTCCTGCTTCTCTCCTACCTCATAGTAGTTTTCTTCTGTGTTCTTTGTATTCCTTTTGCAGGGAATTTTAAATAGTTTGGGCCTTCAGTATTCCTAATGTTTTTGTTTACCCAACTTTAGCTTGTACAAAACTACTGTTTGTCTTCCCTTCTCTATGTAGAACAGTTTATAACTGTGTTTTAACCAAAACAAAATATTTATGCCATGAGTAGCTAATTGAATTTTAGTTTCCCAAATTGCATCATGCAAGCTGTGTTGTTAATTTCCAAAGGTGGCAAAAAATGTAGATGTTTCTGCCTCAAGCAATATATTTCAGTAAATCAGAATAATTTTTTTTCTTATAGAAGTGTCCCACCAAAGAGGAACAGTAATAGCACTCTGTAAGATACCACATCTATCTGCATTCTTTAAAGGGTGTAAATGCTGCAACTTGACTGATCCCTCTGAGGCTGCACTGTCTTCCAGGTTGATTATATGGACTTTGTGAACCCCAGTAGCTTCTTCCCATTTCAGCAAAACCAGAACATAATAATCCTCTTCCTTATTTTATTGCATTAAGATGGATGGGTTTTCTTAATCGTAGATTTTGCCTGGTTTCACACTTCACTTTTTCTTTTCTGTATCTTATATTTGTGTGGCCTTTTGGACACTAAATTGTAGTGTATTAGTTTTGCTAAAATAATCTGGATAAAATTCTCTGTTAAATATGTACACAAGCTGTAGCAGGGTTTATTTCTTGTGAGTTGAAAAATATTGGGTCTTTGGGGAGTTTCACACTCTAATCACCTTCTGTTTTTCAATTTAAGATCAAAGTGTGGACTATATCAAAAGCATACGATCGTTAGGACCTGTATGTGAATTATTAGTAATATTTTGTCTGAAAATGGTGAAGTACGTTGGCAAGCTGTTACAGACCACATATGTTACCTTGAATCAGGTTGGTGTTTGCCCGCTGTAGTAGTGACACATTTAATACTGATGCAGAATGTCAATACAGTTCATAGCAATTCCAGTTTCGTTATAGTGAAGGTCTGCCTCAGGATCAGCAATTAAAGCAATGACAACAATGCTCTCCATCCTCTCGCGCTCCCACCCAGATAGGGAAAGGAGAGGCAGAATAAGGAGAGAGGCTTCAGGATTGAAAACTAAACTAGACGGTTTTAATGAATTGCTAATGATAAAAGTAAGTATGTGAAAATATATTCGAATATGTTCAGGAATGTGCAAAACTCCTATCACCTTCCCCACCCCCAGCAACTCCCACGACATCTGAGCTGTGAGCAGCTCCAAAATGTCCCGGAGTGCTGCCAGAGAGAGTGGCAGAGACACAGGAGCTGAGGGGAGAGTTTTGAGGGTCAAGAATGCACGGTCCTGGGAATCAGTGGTGATGGATAGACAGAGTTCTCCCTGGATGCTGGCCATGGACAGAAGAGAAGGGGAGAAAGGGCTTGACTTCTGTGATCCCTGAATTTGTACTTACAGGGATGTGTCTGGGATGGAATAATCTGTTTGGCCAATTTTGCCTCCTACGGGAGGGTTGTAGATAACAACTCTTCTGCTCCTTTTGTGTCTGGAGCAGCAGATTCAACTAGCATAGCAAGGTGTCCTTGGTCTGTCGGCAGCAACTATAAATATTTGGATTATATCAGTCCACTGGCTGGAATGCTGCTAATTTCAGCAAGCGTGCTGCTTAAAAGAAAGTTCATTGAAGAAAAAAAAATTCAGTAAAAAGAAAATTGGCTTCATCCTGGCTCAAACCAGGACAAACATTTATTGCAGTACAACATTAGCTTTGCTACAGGTAGCACATAGTTCATATCTACAAGAAGCTTTATTCTTTCATTCACATTTGGCATTTGGTTATTGCTGGTTCCCAAGATTCATGTAATCTGTAGTTGCTTCTTTCCTTCCTCATTCATCTTGGTTCCTGACTTCATATGCCTGTCCTGCTTCTCTCCTACCTCATAGTAGTTTTCTTCTGTGTTCTTTGTATTCCTTTTGCAGGGAATTTTAAATAGTTTGGGCCTTCAGTATTCCTAATGTTTTTGTTTACCCAACTTTAGCTTGTACAAAACTACTGTTTGTCTTCCCTTCTCTATGTAGAACAGTTTATAACTGTGTTTTAACCAAAACAAAATATTTATGCCATGAGTAGCTAATTGAATTTTAGTTTCCCAAATTGCATCATGCAAGCTGTGTTGTTAATTTCCAAAGGTGGCAAAAAATGTAGATGTTTCTGCCTCAAGCAATATATTTCAGTAAATCAGAATAATTTTTTTTCTTATAGAAGTGTCCCACCAAAGAGGAACAGTAATAGCACTCTGTAAGATACCACATCTATCTGCATTCTTTAAAGGGTGTAAATGCTGCAACTTGACTGATCCCTCTGAGGCTGCACTGTCTTCCAGGTTGATTATATGGACTTTGTGAACCCCAGTAGCTTCTTCCCATTTCAGCAAAACCAGAACATAATAATCCTCTTCCTTATTTTATTGCATTAAGATGGATGGGTTTTCTTAATCGTAGATTTTGCCTGGTTTCACACTTCACTTTTTCTTTTCTGTATCTTATATTTGTGTGGCCTTTTGGACACTAAATTGTAGTGTATTAGTTTTGCTAAAATAATCTGGATAAAATTCTCTGTTAAATATGTACACAAGCTGTAGCAGGGTTTATTTCTTGTGAGTTGAAAAATATTGGGTCTTTGGGGAGTTTCACACTCTAATCACCTTCTGTTTTTCAATTTAAGATCAAAGTGTGGACTATATCAAAAGCATACGATCGTTAGGACCTGTATGTGAATCTGTTAATTTGCACTTCAAAACTCTGACCAAGGATCAGTTTGTAGCTCAGTATGCATTATGGTTCCACTGGACAAACTACACAGAGGTATGGAAATGTCTGTTGACATTTGTGTTTTGGTACGTGAGCCTTTTGTGGATCTTTAATATAAGAACATACAAGGGAGATTAATGAACCAAGATGCTTAGAATTTGTAACTAATTGTCCTGTGATACGTAGCTGCTTCTAACTTTCCTGAGTTTGTAATTAGGGTTTATCACAAAGAGGTGCTTTGGGCCTGTTCTAAGATGATAGGATTTTGCTTTTCTAATTATCTGTGCTTAATATAAAGTTCTACTGTGTGAAGTTATTGTTGATAGGTTTTATAGAGATGAGACACTAGATACATTGCAACTAAAAATACAAGAGGTGCTTTAAGGCAGCTTCTTTCCAGGCATCTGCAGTTTTATCTGCTTGGTATGGTTTTCATTCTACATTTGCATAACAGCCATCACAGAGGAATATTTAGATTTATATGTGCTTTTTACAGTTTGATTTTTTCTTCTAAATATTTAACACAACATTATTCTTCTTCCTTCCCCCCCACCATACAGTTATTTATTGAAATATTTGATGTTCTACAGTATTCACAAACTACAGAAGTTGCTCTTGGCTTAATGAAACTAACATCATGCTTGGAGCGAGCCTTGGGTGATGTAAGTACCAGCTTGAGGATTGTGTTGCAGATATGGTTTTAGCACTTGGGAATGAGCTCTTGGATTTAATTGCACACTTAAGAACTGAGATTGCTCTGTACTGTAGTAGTACACAAATAATCCAGCTGCATTTTCACTTAGATATTCTTTTCTGGATCCAGTTGTACTAATGGAAACATCTTCTGGGGCTGCTTCACCCATGCAGGAAGAGTTGCTTGTGTGAGTGGTGTTACTAACCCATTTCATTAAAAAAAGAGCAAAGTTTGCTTAATTGGAGTATATATAGTAGGTCTTTGTTACTCTGATTTGTTTAACTGAATCAGGGAGCAGCATTCCTTCCACTGAAGATGGGAGATTTTAGTAAACTTCGTGAGGCAGAAGCATGTAGGTAGAAATAGGCTGCTAGATAACTTATTTCTTCAGAGCTCAGTTGCAGAGTATACATCTGTTTAAATGCTTTAACATCAGTTTTGTGCCAGCTAACAAATTCTAGACCTACTGATCAGCTGAATAAATCTGGGATCCATCTTGTAGTCCTGAACATTTATCTTGTTAATACATTCCCTCTTTCCTTTACCCTGTAGTAAAGGTATGGACTCTTGCTAGTTTTTAAAAGTGCAAGAGTTATGTGGCCAGCTTGAGGCAAGGGGTGCATACATTATATGATTTAGATGTAGGAATTCTAACTGGTATTCAGAATCTTGTATCATGAATCAACCTTGACAGCCATCTGCCTTCTTTGCTGGTATCGCATACATTATGTGAGTGCAAATATTTGAAGGCCTAGTAGCAACCTAGATTGATGAACTGGTCCAGGTACCATTCCACTTTTTTATCTAGTTCTTTTTTTATTTTTCATCTGAATTGGGCCCTTGATCTGCTTCACTGCATGACCACATAAAAAGATGCCACCACTATTTATGAGCATATAGGTTAGGGAGCAGGGACCAGCAGCTGTTTGAGAGACTAGCGATGCTGAAGTTACCCAACTAGGATAAAATCTAGTTTAAGGGACAGCCAGAATCAGAAGAGAAACCACAAATCTCCTTCCTTTAGTAATGACAGACACTAGGAGTATGGTGTCTTGGGTAGAGTTTAGTCCCTTGATTACATGTTATTGTTGTGCTTTATGTTTTTTGGTGTTTTGTTTGTTTGGGGTTTTTTTGTTTTTGTTTTTTTTTTATTTTAAGAGAAGAGCAGTATGTGTATAGACACTATGAAAAGCCTAATTATAGGAGCCTTAAGTAGGATATACACGCATTACTGATTTGTTCCGTAAATTTTAATTTGTCGTGCAATTGCAGAATTTAAAGCCTTTTTAAGGATTTGTTGGATTTTGTTTCACTAGTGCTCTTACTAAAGTGAAATGGTTACTAGGTGAAATAGTCAGGATGTATTTTTGAAATACAAATAAGAATACTGAATTGCTTATGTTATATGTTTTTCTTTTTTTAATAGGTGTATTTACTGATTGGTAAAGATTGCCCTTTCCTTCTAAGAGACTTGATTGCTTCTGAGCAGCTTGCACTGGTCTTTGGACAAGCCGTAGTAAGTGCATAGTTTTGAAACAAGTAATAAATAGTGAGCTTGTTTGCTTCTTGCCAAATGGCAGGTCTCCAGGCATAGCTTTTACTTGCCCTGAAGAAGAGTTTGCAAATTCTGTATAATATATTGGAAAAACTTTCATTTTGTGTATGTTACAGTCTGGGGAATATGTGGCAAAAATAATGAGTATTGTCAATGGAAATATTTTTTGAGGCAAGATCAGAAGTTCTTACTTGTTTTTAATATGGAAAACCTACATACATATAATTCCACATATCTGTCAAGGCAGTGAGGAAGCTGCAGAATTGTCTGCCTCTTTCTGAGTTGCACTGCTTGAAAATACACATCCTGCACTGGCTGTTTCTGTTAAACTGTGTTCCCCTTCACCACCACTGTAGTAAGATGCTTTATAATGTTACCACCCAGAATTTGTTCATCCCTATGTCAAAAAAAAAAATTTTAAAAATCTGATCACAGTTACATTCTTGTATAAACAATGGGTGGTTTTTCTCATACAGTTCTACAAACATTTTTTTTTTGTTAGAATGTGAACTGTAGAAACTTGTATTGTCAGCCAGGCTAGTAGTGTTATACAGATTATTTATTGATTTTTTGATGGCATGTGGAATAGTTAATTTCTTATATTTAAAAAATAAAAGTAAAGTTTCCATTTTTGTTTGATAGTGATCTGGGAATATAGCTTTTATGGCAAATTTTGTATTTTGTGTTAATTCGTATTAAATTGTTGCGGATTTATATTACAAGAACCACATTATATTCTACAGCATGTGCAAGTAAGCTGAAAGGTTTCCTTTCAGAGAACTCTGGAAATTCCAAATGATGAGTTGCTGTTGTTTTGACAAGCTGCTGCCAGTCATCTTGACAGCAGACATTGTAGTTTCTCAAGAACTTCTGAAATTTTCTGTCAGGGAAGGATACAAAGTAATAATAAAGTTCTTCATACACTAACTACTTTGTTTATTAATTAGATTAATGTACTGAAGGTATTCATTGGATCTCCCAGAGGTCTGAATCTTCGTAATGTTTTGTGGCATGGGTTTGCATCCCCACAAGAAATTCCTGCAAAGTAAGTTAACAAAAAGAATCTAATTTTCTTATTGGTCAGACTTAAGACTACTTCAAAAGCTGTCAGTCAAACTTACTGCTCTTCTTGAAAAGAAATATTTTTAAAAAACTGTCCAAAGGCCTCTAGCAGTATCCTGACAGTTTTCCCCTTTTGCTGCCACTTCTTTTGGAAAGGGAGTTCCGTAGAATACTTCAGCCATTATAAAGCTGTCAGTTTTAGGACCAGTGTTTTTTCACTAATTCTACGTTGTTCATTCATGCTTGTGAATGCAATTAATTATTAAGTGCTCTTGCTCAAAGGACACGGGGAGGATAGATTTTGCTTGTTCTTTGAAATAGAAACAAAATGCTTTGTCCCCAGCCCACAAATGCTGATTCTTGCAAAAGATTTAGTTGTATAAGCTTTTCTAATATATTCTCTGGTATTCTCCCTAGATATTGTGCTATGCTGCTTTTTTTAACTGCAGGATTGGGTCAGTTGTTACAGATGTATCTTCTGCAAACTAAATGCATTTTAGTACATCGACCTTATGTGATCTTCAATAACTTAGAGGAGCTTGAGGTATTTCCAGGCAAGTATTGAACCATTGGCAAGTTATACTATATTTGCTATTGTTTCATTGCCCAAAAGTACTGTTGAAAACAATGCATTTTCCACAGTTCTAAGACTGAATCTTAGCTAAGATACCTGTGTACACTGCCACTAGATGAATCAATTGTGCTTGTAGGACGACTTTCTAAGACGCAGGCAGATCCACCAACTATTGAATAAAAAATACTGCATTCTAAAATAGTTGTAATACATTGAAACATGTAATGTTACTGCTTTTAAAAGACTTCAGCTGTATGTTATGGTTTTTTGATGACAAGAGTTAATTTTATGTAACAGTTATCTAGTTTGTCTTTACAAAATCTAATTATTTCCAGAATCAGTGGGTTCCAGCTGCAAATATACCAGCAGAAATACCCTGCATCTTGCAAGGAAAGTAGTGCTGAAACAGAGTAAAGAATGGTGGCACATCTGCAGTACACTGAGGCTTGTTTCAGTAAGGGACTTGAAGTGTCAGATTAAAATCATCTCATCTCCCTGGCTACAGACCTTATTTGGTTTATTCCTACTATTTTTTCAAGCAACAATAGCACATGGGAAATAGTGGCATCATGATCAGTTTGTACTATGTAATTGGTTTGTCAGCAGAACATCTGTTTCTGGAACAGAAACTGGGCTTTTGGGAACCAAAGCAAGCTGATAACATTCCAGTCATCACGTAGTATTAATCCTATAGGTGTTGATTTCCTTCAAAAAAACAGCTACAGCAATCAGGTTGCATTTGCCTTTTAAGCTGTATCTTGGGTAAGATATTTATAATGTGTTAGTGTCATTATATGGTATCACTGAAGTATGAAGTGTTAATTTATTATGCTAAATATCATCACAGGTAATTGATACAGCAGGAACAATGTGCTTATGTTCAAGTGTTCATACTACTGTACTGATTCTTACTGAATTAAAATTATTAATATGTATTACACTTTCTTAAAGTATTTGAAGTAAATGAAGAACAGTGAGGAGGAGTGAGGTGGAGAACAACCCAACAGAAGCTGTGTCCAGTTGCTGTGTAGTCTTTTAGTCTCAGTAAAAAGTAGCCCCAACGTTTTATCTGGTTTTACTCTGTAATTTTATATTATCACTACAAATGCCATCTAATAAACTCAATTTCTTATCTTAAATAATAATTGTACTTGCATATTTAAAATAAGTTGGGTCACTTTACAAATGCTGAAATATTTTTTTATTTTCAATGAAATATTAAGAATTAACTAGTAAACTGTAGATTGAATGTAGTTTATTAATGCTGGTTTTCTAACTTGCAGATCTTAATAATGAAGCACTTTCCATAGCTGAAGAGCTAGTAAAACTGTCCAGTTTTGTATTAAAAACAATGCTACCATTTTGGATGGCTGCTTTAAGAGCTTTCAAGCAAAGCAGGTAAGAGCAGATTTAATTTTTTTTATCATTATTTTTATGGAAGATAAAAGTAATCTATATTTCTAGAACAATAGTTAGATTTGTAGGTTACAAAGATTTTTGCTAGTTCTATTGCTTTACAACGTAGAGTTATGCATTGTTATGTTAGTCTCTCAGAAAGCTTGTGGTCTTACTACTTTATTATTGTGCCAGCTAGGACTTTAAACTGTATTTTGAAACCTAAACAGAACTATTGCAGATGTGGCCAAAAAGGAGAGTTTTATAAAGCAAGTGGAAACACATCTTCAGTTATTAACGGGTTGAGTTTGGGAAAAAAAAAAAAACAACATAATTTTGTTTTCCTTTCCCATGTACCATCTTTGTGTAAATTATGCTCCTCTCTGACCTGGTTTGAGTTCAGTGGTCAGCTTCTTTTCGGCACAGGTAGTAATTTATTTTTTGTTTACAAAGTGCATTGCAAAGGAATTTTGGTCTGGGTTGTTTGGTCTGAGAATGTAACTCTGAGATGGCTCTAATTTCTATTTGGATTATATCTATAAGGGGGAATCCCTTCTGTGCGGCGGAGATATGGCTGACACGCTGTGATGGTCACAAGTATCAGCCATTTATTTTTGGTTACATCGTATTCTTACACCTTTTCTCCCGTCCATGCGCCTTACATTTCGTTCCCATTGTTTAACAGCTTCTGTTCACGCATTCTATCTTATTTTGTGATAGGTTACAAGTTTTTTACATTTTCTTACAAGAATGTCAACACGCATCTGTATCTCTCATACCTTCTTTTCCACAAACATGTTTGTCTCTAACTGTCAAGGGCACAGCTGTAGTTTGTCAAGATCAAGGCCGCCCACGGTCCATAGCTGCTTGCCCACACCTCTGGGTATTTCTGTTGCTTTTTCAGGTATGCTGACTGTGTGATTCTCTTACTTCCTCAGCTAGAAGTTGGACTTAGATTGCTTTTCACTACAACTAATAAATGTCCAAATCGAATGCTAACAGCCGAGGTAAAACTCCTGTCTAAAGTCAATTATGATTTAGTGCTAAAAATATTTGCAAAATAGTTATTCTAGAAACATAGTGTCTGAACATTTACATAATTTAAAAAAAAACCACCAATTAATTGTGGAACATTATATACAAATTTTCAGTAGTTTCATGAATGTCTCTTATTTTTTCTGTAAAGATATCTGCCAGTAAAAAGTACTTGAAAGTTAGTATTCAGAAACAGTAGTTTAGGGTGGAAAGTAGATCATGTTATATTTATTTTAAAAAACTTGGCAGAAAAACCAACAGTTACTTTTTTCATTGTTAAGGGGTTCTTTTTGCTATTCATGTACCTCTGGAATCTCATACAAATGAATATATACATATATATATATTAGTTCAGTATATATGTCTAGTTAATTGTTTTTGTTTGAAAATCAAATAATATTAATTGTCTTTCGTTCTAGTCTTCTGCTCTCTACACCACTTTTGATGAGGTACGTGTGATTTTATTTTTTTTAATATAGATCAGTGTCAGAATTTAGGCATAGGCATGTTTTCCATTACTAGACACCAAAAAGCATTTTCTTGTGTTGGATAAGACATTATTTCTAATTTTTTCAAAATAAAAGATAATGGACAGTAAACATTTTAAATTTGGAATCCCTCAGAAATTGTAAAAATTAATACAATTTTTAAGACTTTAATTTCTTCTAAATGTTTTTATCTTGAAATGCTTCATCTCACAGAGACAAATATTCAGTATTTTTTCCTAGATTCAATTGTTCAAAATAAATGCAAATAAACCTTGCAAGCACAAATCCTCAATTTTACAGCTGTCTTGAATTGTCTCAAATGATCTGTCAGTAATGATTAGGCATCTTCATTCTTGAGTGGCAGAGGTAATTGCTTAAAATTAAAAAAATTAATTGCTTTAGTTGGTATTTTTTCTTTGATTTTTTGGCTTTTAATAATAAGTTTCTATTTAAATTACTTTTCTTCTAGATGCTAGCAAGGAATTTGGAAAATGAAGAAGTCAACCAACTTCCTGCAATTCTTGAGGAACCTGCCATGGGAAGTGGCTTCAAAGTTTTTTGTTTTTTTTTCTTCTTGTTGTTTTGTTTGGTTTTAAATTTAGCAATACATTTATGATCATTCCTAATACTCATTTATTTCAGGTGTATTATCCGCAGCAGCTTAAAAGCAGAAGCTTGTTACCTTTTTCATTGTGAATGTTACAAAATAGTACCTAACAAGCTATATTTGGTTAGGATATAAGACTATCTTTTTTTCTGAAATACAGAAGTCTCAAGGATATTTCTCTTTAGACCTCTGAAGACCAACTGAATGGAGCAGAAGAGAAACTGATGCCTTATATAGAAAAAGTGACAACTTATTTCTGACCTGAGCAGATAGCACAAAAACATAGCTTCCAACCTACCAGAGCACATCTTGCCACCCAAACAGATAGTGAATATGAAGACTAGGGGAGTTGAATTTAGAGGCCTTTTGAGACTGTCAGGAAGACCTGAGTTTATTGTTGTGTTGCCAGAGGCAGCGGGACTGTGGAGGATTTGGGACACAAAGCCAAACAAAACCTGTTGTTACCTCTCACAGAGCAGTATTGTTAGTCTTGAATTTCCTCCGAAGCTACAAAGATGGAGGAGTTCCCCCTTTTTGTTTTTTTGCTGCAAGCATGGTTTGCATTGTTTTTTCTGACCCTTTCCTATAGGCTTGATAACATTCCTATCTTTCAGAGGTATTCTACACACTGAATATGTTCTGTTTTATGGGAATACACATAGAATAAGTTCTATACACTTGGTGTATATTTCCACAGGAATTTCTTTGGGATTTCTTGAACCACCAGGAGGGTCCACGTATAAGAGATCGTTTAAGCCATGGAGAGATCGATCTAAAAGCATTTCCCAAAGAAGTAGCTAATCAGATAGTTGCATTTGCAATTACTCTTCTCTGCAGGTTCTCAGATGAGGACATGTTTGCTTTTAAGGTACGGATCAATAGTACACTCTCAGAAAAAAAAAATTCAGTTGTTTTGGATGCCAAATCTGATTTGAGAGTTTTACGACTGAATCTTTCTTGACAGCAGCTTTTTGTGGAAATGGAAGTATTCCTCCAAATAAAAAATTGTGAAATTATGTTTTTTCTAGTTTTGTAGAGAAAGAAGTACAGAAAGTTTGTCAAAAGATTGCCCTTTTTTGCTGTACCTTAAGTTATTTGCTTAACCATCCCTTATTGACAGGTTCAATCCACATATTACAGTGATTCCACTTAATTTTATGTATCAACTTGTATCAGTACCTACTGTGTTTATCTGATGAATTATCAGGAAGGCATGTAGGACAACTGTAGCTCAGTCACTGAGCTATGTAATAATTTGAGATTTTCTTTCTCTGAAGCACTATAAATCATGGTGGATCACTGGTGGAAGTGTGATTTGTATAATGATCTATACTGTGAATTAGTGAACACTTTTTGTCTATGAATATCTTTCTCAACATTATCAATTATTATACTTACTCCTTCCAATTTCCTGTTAATACTTGGGATTATTTCATTCAATATCATGCAGCAACCTGTGAGATAAATTGTTTATTAGTTGCAGTTCTCTTCAGTTTCTCAAGGTACATTGCATGCGGCTGCAGTAAGAGAACACTTCGTTTCTTTTCTCTCGGCTGCCATCAGGTTTCATAGTTAAATGTCAAAATAAAAGATTTAAACTCTCAACGTGTGCTGAGTACTGCTTTCAGCCCTCATACATTTAGAAGTCTTCACTGACTTAAGTACTCTAGGTGGCTTGCGTAAAATTAAGTATAAGTCTAGGTCTGCATATGATTAGAACAGTTTAAAGAAACTATTGTATATTTATTGTCTGTGATTTTGTAAATCAGGAACACCTGGTCATAAAACCACTGATGAACTGTGCAAGTTGCTACCATTCTCAATTTCATCCAATTTCCCGACTCAAGAAACAGGTATGTACTTGTAACTGTGAAAGAATTTCTGTCCTTAAAATTGTGAATCCTTAAAATTGTGAATCCTTAAAATTGGTCTAGTTATCTCTATGCTTTGATTGTCCTAAAAGTTACAATCTTTCATATTTTTAAATTATCTTTTTAGCTTTATCTTTTGAAATTTTGGGGAATTTACATTTGCTAAAATGCAACTTATTTAAGCGCACTCCTGTTGATGCAATTGGTGCTGTTTGTTCTGTAGATCACTGAATAGCTTTATTTTTACCTTAATGATCGTTGTTCTGTAGTTTTGTTTATCTTCTTGTGCTTTCTTGTGTCAGGAACACTCTTTTTGATGTGTCTCTAGGAATCTTGGATCGGGCTATAACTAAGGTTTTTACTGTATGAAAGCCAGCTGATGAAGATTGTTTAATTGCAGCAAAATCTGCTTTTAAATGTTGTGGTAGTTCTCTGCTAGTCAGTTTATGAATTATTGAACTGCTTGAAGGTGTTCCTCTGTTGATTTGAGATTGCAGTAGACATCCTTGGTACTGTCCATTTTCGACAGCATTCAAACCGTCTGTTATAAAAGTCACATTAGTTAATTTTTTATATTTAAAAAGGGAGATAGAATAGTAGGTTAGTTTATTCAGATGTTGTAGCATGAAAGAGTACAAGAAGACTTTTTGCACTACCATAATCCTTAACAGTTTATATTGGCTTGCAGTTGTGAATACTGAACAAGTAACTCGCTACCTGTTGCAGTTTCTTTCTAAAATAACCGCTAAGAAAAGCAAAATATGTTGTTCTGTCTGCCAAAGGCTACACTTCGTGTAACATTTTTCATTATGCATTTTTGAGGTGCTGGAATGCATAAAGAGCATTCACTTATGGCCTGAATTGCCAACAGTGCCTGAGGAATACATTGGGACGATGAAAGGGTACGTATATCCTATAAAAAAAATATAGTTCTCAAAATAATTATGAATAATGGGATTTTAGATGGTAAAATGTTTGTTCTAATAATTTACTAGGAAGATGATAGACAGCAGAGGGGCTGTGAGAAGACTCCTTTGTTCTTTTAGCTTAATACATGCATCAGTACAGATAGTATAAAAGCTATAAACTGTGCTGACTTGAAGGGAATGAAAAGACATCTGAAGCATACAAAGATGTTAGTGACTCCATATTCTGTTTCTGAAAAGGCTGTTAGGAAGTCAAACTAGACCTTGAATCCATCACAACAAAAACAAAAGATGGCTCACCATGAAAAAGAAAGGTATTAATAATATAACTGGAGGAGATTGTACTTGTTGAGAGCTGAGAGGTAAAAATTCAGAGCATTTGGCACACACTCAATATGCTGCATGATTTTGATGAATGAACAGGATTAGGAGGGATTCAGAAGACCTCTGAGACTGAGAAGAGGTTGGATTTAGTTAGAGAAAATAATGTTTATAGGGTGGAGAGAAAAGAATTGTAGTGTCAGAGACTGAGAGTTGACATTGAATACACTGCTACCCAAAAAAAATCTCCATCTTGGTCTATGCCATTTGAGAAATAATAAGTACTACCCAGCTGTATAATCTCAAATCCTATTTTTTTATTTTGTTTTTAAGGTTGGAAGGAAATTCTGAAACCAGTACTTTAATTTTGATGATATCTGAAATTATATCTCAGTTGCAGCAATATATGCCCCAGAATTGCTACAGTTCACATGACCCAGTCAATAGTGTCCTAACAGAGAGGTGAGTTTGAAGTTCTGTCAGTTCTTGCTCTGAGCTTCTACATGCAGCCCAACATGGTAACTCTCAAACTTAATTTACTCGTTTCCCTGTTTTTAGAACAATGCCTGAAATGTTGCATGCACATTTCTGATGTTCCTGCT